CTCCTGGCTGTGACCCTGGGCACCCTGCTGTGGGTGAGCTGCTGGAGCAGGGGGTTAGATGAGGTGATTTCCAGAGGTCCCACCTTTCTGTGATTCTGTCCCTGTAACATCCCTCCTGCATCCCTTCAACCTCCCACATTCCTTCCACCAAACCCTGTATCAGCTTCAAAGGGCCAGGGTCTCAAAAGTCTGTTAAAAACTGGCATGATTCTGCCAGGGATTGTCTGTCAAGAGGTTTGGTGCTGAGCCTGATGCTGTTTGTGATATTTCCTACGGCTCTTGCTTCTCTCTGCAGTGAGCAAAGCTCTCGTGTGTAGGTGTTGGTGCTTGCAGGCATCAGCCACAGCAGGGGAACGAGACATCTCCAGCCCGTGGGTACCCTCAGTGCTGGAGTGGTCAGGAATGTGGACACAGGTCTCCCATGCCCAGCAGGAACAGGGGAACTCCTGTCCTTGAGAAAAAATGCAGCTGTGGGGAATTTAACTTCTCCACCTGTGAGCTGAGTCCAAGCCCCGTTGCTGGGGATGCTCCCAGTTCCCTGCTGGGGATCACAGCTGAAGGCAATTGAGTCCTGAGGAGCAGTGGGAGGTGGTGGAGGAGCTGCAGCTGCAGCAACAAACCCTCAATCCTACAAAACCCAGAGGGGTGGAAGAGGGTCTCCTTCTTCAAAGAAAACACCATGTGGGAAGCCATCACCCTTCCTCCCTTCTGGGCAGTGCCAAGCTCATGGCAGTCCCTTTCCAAGCCTCCTGGTCAAGGTATGAAATTCCTTTCTACAATCTGGGAGAGGTCTCATGGTGGTGTTTTGTTCTTCTTTGTTTTCTCTCTCATGCCCTGGTAGGTTGCTCTGAGTACCTGGCTTTTTTTTTGTCTGAATACAGATGTTTGCAGACAGTTTTTTGTGGTTGGCAGTGACTGCAAGGGCAGGTTGCTTGATGGGAGCCCTGTGGGGTTACATGTGAGGAGCAAAGGACCTTTGCTGGGTATATGAAGCAGCCTCAGGGGTGTGGTGCTTCTGCAAACCATGGCATGAAATTCTGGTGCTGGCTGAATGCTCACACAGCTCTGCTAGAGGTGAGCCTGGGCTGGTGTGGGACTTCTCCATCCATGCCCACACTGTGGCCAGCTGCTGGCACAGGTGGCAATGCCACCTTGCTGCTGCACTGATCCCAGTAAAGGGGACCATGATCTGCACTGTCAGCTTGGCCTGGAGGCTGGCAGGGAGGCCGTGGAGCACGGATGGACCTGGGGACCAGGTGGCTTAGGGCAGGGTTCAGCATCACCTCTGAGCCTTTGTCCTGGGCTGGTGGTGGGGCTGCCTCCTCCCCCGTGGAGGCCCTGCTCTGGTGGGTGGTGTGTCCCTGAGGAGAATCTGTTGTCTCCACCTCTGTAGCCACAGCCTGAATCTGAGGCTTTTACCTAAAGCTCTCAGCTGGGGACAGTGTGGGGCTGTTGAGCAGGTGACACCTGATAGCACAAAATCATTTATTGTTGCTTCCTGCTACCTGCTCTGTGACCACCAGGAAACTGTGACTGCTCCCTGGGCCCGGTGTGGGGGTCCCCTCAGTAGCATCTCTGGTGGACAATGCGTGGCCCCTCTTCTTCATACTCATCCCTTCGGATCCACCACGTCTGGAAGTTCTTGAGGGAGGAAAGGATGGACCCCCCAGTCCACGCCGAGTGCCTCCGCAGTGGCACGGCCTCCACCCTGACGTCGGTGTTGGGGGGCAGGATCTGGAGGAGCTCACTACAAAACCTCTTCTCTAGTCCCATAAAGAGAGAGGACCCTCCACATAAGAGGATATTTTTGCACATTGTTGACCTGATATCTTCTGGAAGTCGGTCAAGGCTTCTGCGGGTCATCTCGTGGATGCCCACATTGGAAATATCCCAGTTGGGCAGAGGTTTGAAGAGTATTTCTGGGCATTGAAACCTCTCCTTGCTCAGGGTGATGGTCTGGCCGTCGGGCAGAGGAAAATCCAGGGCACAGCTGGCTGATGGGAGCTGGCACTCGCTCTCAAAGTTGGAAGCCACATAGCAGCACTTGTGCTTGATGTCCTCTGCCATACGAACCACCTCGTTATTCAGTACGCAACCTGTGTCCCCCAGAAGTGTCAGCAGGTACCAGGAGAGGTGTGACCCTGCCAGCTCTATCCTTTCAGTGGCATATGCTAAGCTGTAGCCCTCATGGACGGGCACAGCATGGCTGGTGGCATAGCCCATGTCCACCACCAGGCCGCTCATTCTGCCATAGGCGTAGGTGGAGAGCACAGGCTGCTGGGCAACAAAGAAGCCGAGGGAGCCCAGGGACTCGAACACCACCTCCACCATCTTCTCTCGGTGGGTGGTGGGGCTGAGCAGGGGCTCGGTGATGAGCAGTGGGTACTCCTCAGGGGGGACTCTGAGCTCGTGGTCAAACACGTGCTGCCACAGGGTTCTGGCTGCTTCCCAGTTGGCGATGATGCCGTTCTGCATCGGGTCGAGCACTTCAGTGTTGGGGTGGGCTTCCTCCCCAACGACAGCCTTGGACCTGTCTTCTGTCCCTATGGGCTGTGCCACAGGGCAGCTCACCAGGGTGTTGATTTCGGCTATGGGGGTCTGCTGGCCAGAAAATCCTGCTCTGCAGCTCCTGGTGCCCATGTCGATCACCACCGCTCCCGTCCTCGGCTGCAGTCCCTCACCTGAGGAGGACCTGGGGGTGTTAGTGGTGGTGTTTGCCCCAGCCCTGCCTCGTCCCCGTGGCATCCGAGCAGTGCAGAGAGCAGGAGACGAGTCCCTGCTCCTAGGTGGGCCTGGTCCTCAGTTTGGGGAGCCCCCATCCCATAGTCCCCATGGAGCTGGGCAGCAGTGTGCTCACCCCCAGGTCTGGGTGCAGCAGCTGACAACGGGAACTGTGACATCAGCTGGGTCTGGGGTGGTGGCAGCAGCGTGTCCCCCCTGGCTGCTGTGTGTCCAGGGGGGTCTCTGCCCCAGCCAGGACAGATCTGCCTTGGTGAGGGAGGTCCTGAGCACCCCCCCACCTTTTCCAACAGGATGGAACTGCTGTCTTCATTCTGTGGAGCTCCCCCACCACCCATGGGTGGGTGTTTTCTCCCAGTGGGGTGATGCTTTCCTCAACACTCTGGTGGGCCTGGGGGGCTCTTGGCCACTGCCGTTGGCCTCACAGATTCGTGCAGATGGGGGATTTTACACTTGCATTGCTGCAGGTGTAGAAATGTCCCTGGGACCGGAGCCACCTTTGCAGTGTGACATGTCAGGCTCATCTCTGTCTTCCATGAAAGCAGATTTAGTGCTGCTGGGATCATGGGCTGGGTTTTGTGTGGCAAGGTTTTGGTAGTAGATGGGCTACAAGGGTAGCTACTGTGAGAAGCTTCTAGAAATTTCCCCCTTCTCGAAGTTGAACCTGCCTCTGGACCAGACTGAGTTGATAAACATGTTTAAAGGGGGGAAAAGCTTTTGGGGTAGTTTTTAGTTTCTTGGAGGGGAGGAGGATGTGAGAGAAACAACTCTGGACACCAAGGCCAGTGAGGAAGGAGGAGGGGAGGTGTTCTGGAGCAGAAATTCCACTGTGGCCCATGGTCAGAGAGCAGACAGACCCTCTGCAGCCCATGGAGGTCGATGGGGGAGCAGATGCCCACCTGTGGAGGACCCCACACACCTGCTCCAGGTGGCTGTGCTGGGAGGAGAATGTGGCTTTGAGGAAGCCTGTGCTGAGGCAGCCTGTTGCTGGAGGACTGAACCCTGCAGAAGGGACCCATGCTGGAGCAGAAGAGCCTGACCATAACTGGTGAGTGAGTCCTCCCTGTCCTTAAGCCTTATTCCTGGCTGAGTGGGTCTAAACTAGGACAGGTCGAGTTCCTGGACTGCATTGAGTAAGGTCAGCTAGAAAGTGGTGGCCACAGAGAGTGGGGAGGCACCTCTGGTCCCTGTCATGGGATTTCTGCCTCTGTGTCCCAAGCAAGTTTAGGAACACCACAATGTTTGATGTTTTTTGGTAGGAGTGTGGTGGAGAAGCATAATGGTGCTGCCCAGCCCTGGCTCATCCCAGCTCGTGTCCTGGGAGGATGGTGTACCTTTCTTTTGGGCTTTTTTTTTTTTTAATTGTTTCTTGTAATACTGTTTGGTCAGAAGCCAGTACTCTGGGGGATCCCTCCTCAGGTACAGTGTGCCCAGGGCTGCTCCTTTGTGGTGTGGTTACACCCAAGAAAAACAGCCCCTCGTTTCCTGCAGGGCTCATCACTTCTCATAATCCTGGTTCACACTCTCCAGAGGTGACAGCTCACGAGGAGCCAGCTGGCACCAGCCAGGCCCTGCTGAGCTGCTGTGACTGAACACCCCCTCAGGGCTGTTTGAGCAACGTGGAGGTGACATCATAAGCAGGACCTGATGGTTGTGTGATGTAGCTGCTTAATTTTGCACCACAGAGGCCATGGAGAACCCAGGAGGGCTGGGCTGTGGACACAAGAGCTGGTGGAATGCTGCACTGGGACTGCTTATATTCTGTAAACATAGAAGGGCCTGCAGAGACAGGACAAGGGGTGATGGTTTGAAATGAAAAGAAGGAGATTTAGACTAGAGAGAAGGAAGGTGGTTTTGAGGTTGATAGTGATGAGCCCCTGGCCCAGGCTGCCCAGAGAGGTGGTCGCTGCCCCATCCCTGGAACCATCCCAGGGGAGGTTGGACCAAGCTCTGAGCACCCTGCTCTAGCTGCAGATGTCCCTGCTCCCTGCAGGGAGGTTGATGATCTAGACTAGACAACCTTGAAAGGTCCTTTCCCACCTAAACTATTCTACAATTGCCTCAACGCTCCTTCCTTCACTGATGTGTGGGGCAAACTGCAGCCTGAAACATAAAGCCATAATTTCCTAATTTTCTTTCTCCTGCTGCCCCAAATCTGGTGGGTTTTACAGGGGAGAGGCAGTGTGGCTGCAGAAGGACAGAGGAGCCATCAGGCCAAGCTGTGGCTCAGAGGGAAATTGTTTGTTTCTTGAAGCCTGGTTGCTTGGGGGGGGAAAGCCAACAGCTGTGCTGCTGACAAAACAAAGCTTTTGCTCCTGATAAAGCAACATTTCAGAGATTAAATTCCTGCTTGGGCATAGTGTGGCTGTCCTGACTGCCCCAGGCCAGGATCTGCAGTCAGCAGGGCAGGAGAAAGGCTGATGAGGTGCAATTAGTGAGGGAGCAATGAGGGGGCTAAGCAGAAAGGCTCCTTGACCATGGAGCTACAACCCCCAGCAGAGGAGCTGGGGCTGGGTGCTCTCACCGTGCATGGGGTGGGTGGGCTGCACCCAGATGGGGACAAAGTTGTTCAGGTTCTTCTGTCAGGGATGGTCCAGGGCAGAGTTCTGCTGCTGGGAAATAGTGCTGGGTCAGTGCTGACACCAGGAGGTTAAAGAGGTGTCTGAATGTGTGCCCTTGCTGAATGGTGCTGCACAAAGGGCTTTTTGATGACTTCCCAAAGTGGATGGAGCATTTTCCTATCTGTGAGAGACAAATTGAATAGGAATTGCTGGGGAGAATGATGAGAAGCAGCCGAATCCTTTATTGCTGCAGTTCTGGCTTGTTTCCAGTGTTCAGCACAAGATGTTTAAAAAGCTGAAAAGGAGACTGATAAACTCTTACTGAACAGGTCCACCTAGCCCTGTGCTGTGAAAAGAGGTGACTGGGTGCTGCCAGTCTGCACGCTGGTAGGGATTCTGAGCCTCCTGAAGACAAATGCAGGGACAGAAGTCCTGAGGAACAGCATCTACAGTTCAAGGGGAGAGTAGAAGCAGTGGGAGGTCAAGGCTTGTGCTGGTGGAAGCAACCATGGAAGGTGGTGCTGCAGGTGGGCGTTGATGGACCTGGGTTCAGGGCAGATCTCTGAGCCTCTTCACCCACTTGCCCTGTCCTTCCCTAGCCCTGATCCATGCCTGGAACCGGGTCACCAAGCCAGAGACTCGAGTTGCCTGTGTCACTGCTGAGCTGGCCCAGCCCCAGCAGCCTTCCTGGTGGCCCTTGTTTGGAAACTGCAGCTCCATAGCAAATGTGGGCAGGTGTCCAACCGTAACAGGAAGAATACTGTGGCAGGGTGTAGGGGATGCTGAGAAGCACCACGGTATGTGAGGGCTCCTTCCTCTTGGAAAGCAGCCCTGCAGGGAGGCTTGAGGGCACCAGCCATGCTTGCAGCATGCTCGAGCTTGGCCCTTTCTCCAGCAAGCTGCTGCTCCTTTCTCAGCTCCTCTACTGCTTTTGTCCTCTTGGTTGCCTTGGTGGCCGTTCCTCAGTGTGTCTCAGCTTTAGGTTGGGGTGACCTGACCAGGTGTCAGAGCCGGGGTTTGGCTCCCCTGCTCATGAGGACCCTCCACACTTGCAGAGGAGCGTGGGGTCAGACATATGGGGCACATCCTGGTGTGCTGGTGGCTATTCCAGGGGGAGGGGTGGCTGCTGTGATTTGTGCAGAAAGGCAGGTTTGCAACAAACCTTTTAGGCAGTGGGGCCTCATGGCATTGCCAGGAAGGTCATCTTGACTCTGGTTCCCTGTTGGCAGGTTGGGCTGAGCTGGGTGCTGCTGTGATGCATCAGAGGTAGAGCTTCTCTAAACCAGATCAGCTACGTGTCCCTTTCTGCTGAGCAGGCACATTTGCCCTGCTGCTTTCAGGTTTCTCCTAAGGTTTGGAGTGCTGCCTGGAGCCAGTGACAGGACAAGGGGCAACGGGCACCAACTGGAACCCAGGAGGTGCCACCTGAGCAGGAGGAGAAACTTCTTTGGGGTGAGGGTGGCCGAGCCTGGAGCAGCTGCCCAGAGAGGCTGTGGAGTCTCCTGCTCTGGAGAGATCCCAAACCCTCCTGGCTGTGACCCTGGGCACCCTGCTGTGGGTGAGCTGCTGGAGCAGGGGGTTGGAGGAGATGATCTCCAGAGGTCCCTTCCAACCCCTACCAACCTGTGAGGTAGCTCTTCTCCCATGACCACAGTGTAAAAGAGAATTCAAAACCTCTAGGTAACATGTCCAAAAAATAGCACCTTCCTCTCCCAGCCCATGTTGACTGTTAAATCCCTGCACCCTGAGCTGTTATTAGCATCCCTCCCGTGTTTTGGAGAGCAGTGGAGCTCCCTGGGGAGAGTGGAGCAGGTCACTGGGGTACTGGAGTGAAGGAAACACGCGTGCAGCAGCTGGCTGAAGATCTGGATGTTTGCTCCAAGGCAGGAGCTCGTGTGCCAACGACTGGACCCCCCTGGCACTGCTCTGCCACCCAGCTTTTCCTGGGTGCTTGCTGTCAAGGCTGAGCCAGGAAAGTCCTCCCTGCTCTCAGCCCTCCTGCCACGCCATGGCTGCTGCTGCCAGGGCACGCTGGGTGGCACAGAAACTCAGAGTTCTTTCACAAGCAGCTGTGAAAGCTTTTCATCTGTTGTCACTGACATAATACCGGCTGCCTGAAAACCTTTGTTTGATGGAGCAAACAGGTTTCTAATCCTCTGCGTAGGAAACTCCACTCTGCACTGAGGAACCTGATCTGGGGGACAAACGGGTCCAACCTGCCGTTGAGGAGCATTACTTTGAAAGCAAAAAAGGCAGTTTGGTTGCATGGAAACGTTGCCTGCAGTGGAATGATTAATGAGTAATCATAGTTTCATTAGCTCTAACTCTAGTGCTTTCACTTTCGGCAGTGTTCACCTAATGATGGTGTCAAATAGCTACCTGGAGATCAGCACCATCTCCTGTGCTCTGCAGAAAGCTGGGGTGTGCAACAGGCTCTGTTGGGCA